CACAGTGGAGTCAGCCGTCTTAACCGTGGCTTGTGTACTGCACACATACCAGCTTCATCACTGTGTCTGTCACGAGACTCTGTTCTATTCCAGATTATTCTATTCTATGCGGTTGTTTTGGCTAGATTACTTTTTTGTCTCGTGCGGCGCACTGCCTGGGTCTGAAAGTTGCTAAATCTAGTGCTAAAGTGGCGCTCGTGTGTGTGTGTGAGACGCGGGAGCTGTTGCAGCGGGCGCTGGATATTTGTGGCGGTCAGTGTGGATATTGTGGATGAGTTCTTCTGTGTCATCACGTTCTATTAGTTCTACAGCTTCAGTTTCGGAACTTTCACGCTTAGTAACACATACAGCTGCTCCCTCACCACAGTGCAACAGTGAAAAGGGACCCCTTTCAAACAGTGTCGCGTTCCCAACGTTGTTTAAGCGACATACACCGGTATTGCGGTATTTTAAAAATTCATATCATAACAAAAATAAACAGCGGTATTCGTTATGAACCGGTATACCATCCAGCACTAGACTAAAGTCTCAAATCCAAAGAGATATTCTTTATAAAAGTTAAGAGTCAGCCACGCCCCCTAAAATGGCTCGTTCTAACACGCCCCCACATATCTACCTCACTATGTGGAAATATTAGCATAATGCCGCCCAAATGTGCACGCAAAGAAAGAAGGCGTGGTTTCAGTAACCACAGTTAGTGTTGAAGCAGCATGTCAGGGAAACCTGTGTTGTTATGACCCCTTTAAGATAAACACTGGCAGCATTATAGCAATCCAAAGCATAAATGTAGGCACACGTACGTCTTCAAGATGCCTGTTAAAGATCTCTTCATCTGGAATGCATCTGATAGACATCTATAAGATGTCAGTTTGACATGCATCTTCTATTTGACATCTAATAGGAAACATTTACATTCATTAATTCAAATAGAAACGTCCTACAGACGTATTCAGTTGTGTGGAAAATGTTACTTTTAAAAGTAATGCATTACGATATTGAGTCACTTAGTTGCTTTTGATGGAAAGTAATGCGTTACGTTACTTTTGCGTTACTTTTTCTCATCTGGGCTGGGCTCATGTTTTCTCTTTTCAGCAATAAAAAATAAGGAAGCAAATGTTATGTTTATCTAAAGTCATTAAAGTAAGTTTGCGTCATATTCAGAGTTTACATTTCACTGATTTCAATCATTTTGAGGAATACTGAATCTGTTTTTGTGCAAGTGAGATGAGTAAATGCATGTTCACATTTAGTCTAGAAATACAGTAATCAAAGTAACTCAGATATTTCCTTGTAAATGAAAAAGTAATGTGTTACTTTACTAGTTACTTGAAAAAGGTAATCTGATTAGTAACTCGTGTTACTTCCAAATTGCATGATAAAAATTGTAGTTACATAATCCATTACATATTTTTAGATTATTACTAAGCGACCTAACTCGCTTATGACATTGATTTAAATAGTATAGTCTTATAGTACCATATTGATATGAAAATGCAAAGAAAAAGAAAATGTGTTCCTTTCATTGTTATTAACAACATGAAGTGCATTAAACATTACACTCCGTCAAGGTTTCCAAACTGGGGTTTGTGAAGGAACTGCAGGCGGTTCGAGAGTTTAATGAAACGCTAATAATTCATTAAATCATACAAATGATAATGAAAACCATTAAAATCGTTTTAAAATAACATGCATCATAATAAAAAAAATGAAATATTTTATTTGTTTAACTGCATGTCATGTGACCATTAACTAACGTCAGAGAACCGTGAGCATGCAAATGTGATACTTAATTATTAACGTATTGCCTTAAAATCAGGGGTACATCGAGTAAATATATAGCCTATTATATGAAAGTGCATTGCATGTAAATAAAGAATAACGTGAATTTGTGCATGTCAATGTGTTTGGAAGACAAAAGTCTTCCAGAGGCATAGTTATACATGGTTAAATAACACACTGAATGATAATTCAAATAAAATATAATGTGTTCATCAGTAGTTGATGCAATGTTGAAATGCTGAGAAAAATCTCTTCTTAAAATTGAAATGTTTTTTTGTAAATCCAGTGGTCAAATGCTGTGTGGCCTCTCGATTTTCTCTGTAATTATATCCACCTGACTAGTGACTGGCCTTTGTGTGAATGTCCACAAAGACAAGACTTTCTGAGTGTATAATAGCGGTGGGCTATTTTAGAAAGGAACATATAAAAGCTGTTAAATCCCTTATTTCTACCCATCATTCATAGTTTTAAGTCATGTGACTGGCTCGTAGACCTGGCGGGTAAAACATCCATACAACTGCAGCACAAGCCTGTCAAGTTTCCAATCCACAAATATTTAGATCGTCTCTCAAAAAGCATAAAAAAAGAAAAGATTTGTGAACAAAATGCAAGTTTTGGCCATTTGCAATACATATAAAACACTCACCGCAATATTTCAATTAAAAACTGCATGGCATTTTAAAACGTTTAAACACTTAAAGTGCCTTTAAAACAGATCAAAGTCAATGCACACCTTTTTAATGATGCGTATTGGCCTACTTTATGCAGGTGAGCTCGGAATATGAACGCAATGCACTAAATGGTTAAGTATTTTCTTTATAACAGTTTGCTATGGGAAAACATTTAATGTGAAACTTTGCACATTGCGTTTATATTCTGGGTTAATGTGCTTGCCTGTGCAAAGTATGCATCTTCAATAAGGTGTATACTGAATTTGGCCTTTAAATATCACTGTCTTACTACATTACTATTTAATGCAAACCTTGTAAAAATAACTGGCGGTCAGCGGTCAGTCAGATTTTTCTTGGACTTTATGACATGAATGGAATGGGTTTGCTAACTCAAATTAGGTTTAAGTGACTTAAAGGCTGAAAGGCCACATTTTAGGAGATGTTGATCATTTTGAGGCTGTAATACATTTTGTAAGCTCCTTCTACAGCAGTAACAGAATGAAGCTGATCACTGAATGTAATACCGTGGTGTTATCATCAGCTGTCTTTGAGAAAATCCGTCTGGCGAGAACTTCAAATGAACAAAGTGTTTATCCTGCTCTATGAGTAATACCAAGCATACCGCAGTAAATTGCATGCAACACTTATTTCCTGACACTGCAGGCGAGGATTGTGCTCATAGTAGTCTAGTTTAGGCCAAGTTTCTGTCAGACAGCATATCAAAGTATCAAATATTTTAGCAGAAGGAAACTGCTGCGAGGTTGATAACCTCGACTGTTTTTTGGAGATGTGACAGCAGTACGAGTGCCTTAAATGTTTCATAAATGTCTATCCCTATGTAATGTTAATACAAATTGGAATTATTTTCCCTTCATATCAACTGTATATATAACAACGGTCGGTAATATTTTTGTTAAAAATGAGCACTTTCTACAATTAGGCCTAGTAAATATTCACGTCAAGTTAAAGTGGCTCCAGCAGTTGCATGTACTTTATAGATTTATCAAAACATTGTTTTATCAAACCATTGCAGAAATGGCAGTTAATTAATACTTGGCAAGCTATATAATAAAAGTGTGACATCCTTTCCCTGATTTGGCGTTTATGATAAATGCCCTTTTCCTAAGAACACAGTTCGACCTTTCAGTTAACATCACCTTCATTATGTACTTGACTCTTTTATTTCATTCACTTTTTAAACAAGACAGATATCAAAAATATAATGATACTGACATTTTAGGAGGACACAGTTATTATTTTAAATAGGATTGTGTGGCTCTGGGTTTGAAACCAGCAAGCATGCAATTCAACTTGTTTGACTTAAATGCTTTTCACATCCTTTCTCTTCAAGACTAATTACTTCCAGGACTAATTCAATCATTTTGTTACTCTAGGTTTACAGCGTGTATTTTGATGGCATCTGCTGGAGGAATCCACAAACTGCAAAATGCAGTTTAGACTTTGTGGAAAGAATAGATGCAGTTCTTAGACGTGATGCACAATAAACTTTTTTGCACAGTTGCACACAAAAACACATGCACAGTTTAAACACAACATGAGTACATTTTGAATATATTGCCACGTTTCTTTTTATTTAAAGTTTTTATCATTACCTGCAAACAATGCACAGTGGATTTTATAATGCAAAAAAAATTGCATACACTGGGGTGTATTTGTTTGGCCATCTTCTTTCAAAGTGTAACAATCCACTGAGGCGAGTTGAAGTGAACCCAAGTGCAGTTTATTCCAAACACGAACAAATACAATCAAAAACAGCCTTGGCTTGGCTAGAAAAATGAAATGACCATGACCATGAAAACAAACTCACCACAGGGAACAAAGCTAGACAATGAAACATGAAGTCTATAAATATCAAACAAAGGGGTTACATGACACAATGGAAAAAAAACAAAAAACGGATTGTGGAACAGTGGCGGGCTT